TTTTTTTGTTTTATTTTTTTCCTCTAAATTAAAGATATAATTATATAAATATAATTTATAGAAACAATAAATTTAAAGTAAAATAAAAATACCGTAACATTTTTATAGGATATCTCACACATAATTAATAAAGCTGAGTCCCCACCACCCCTGTAACATTTTTTTTTTTTACCAAAGTCTATATAGGATCTATCATACTTTTAATGTTCTCAAATGCGAGGGTCAAGATCAAGCCATCAGGCCTATATATCAGGTCTATGGTATGGCGAACAAAATGACAAAGTAAATTTATTTCCCAAGTATATATATACATTTTCTGTTTACTTGCATGCAATAATAACTTTAATTTTTGCTGATACCAAAAAGAAGGTTTGTTGGTTCTAAGTACATATAATTTGGTCTGCCATCTCACTGGATCATTTTACATTTAATTTTGTCTGCCATCTGACTGGAGCATTTTTCAACGATTCTTTATTGAATTACTTTATAAAAATCTGAAACATATAGATTTTCAAATAGTCTCAGCAAAGCGCAGTTCGCCTTTTAGATCTAGTGGCATTAAGTTATATATAAGTGCATTTCTTTCACTTTAAGGACAACGATTTGAATTTGATTCTTTGTAAATTTGTTAAAAAAAAAATTCTCAACAAAATGAGAATGTTTGCATGGATTAATGGTTTTTTTTTTTGTTATAAAAAATTTTTTATATAAAATTTGATAAGTATGAGATTTGAATTTCATTCTCAATATTAAAAAAAAAAATAATCTCAACAAAGCTTCATATTTACTATTCGCTTGGAATACCATGTCATTTCATTCTCAATGAAATAAATAAGGGCATAATGCATTGAATTCTTTCATTACGCACATATGTACCAAAACATACCCATTCTACTCTTTTTTTGGTTGGAAAATTTTGGTCTACAATGTTTATTATCTCTAGCTAGTAATAGTTCAACCAACTAATTAAAGTATGAAGAATAATTGATAGCATTGTGCTACGGAAAATTTTGATATTCGTGGCACTTGGCTTTATGACAGAAGAAGAGATAGTTGATCTTGTTAAATACAGATCCTATTTTTGGTTGAAAGCTAATGGTATGCAAATTTTTCGGTAGAGGTTCGGAAATTTAACCCAACGAAAGCAAAAAGGGGTAATGCCATGTATTAGGCTATGCTATAAAAGTCTGATCAAAATATTGTACGTAAAGGATGTACATGAGCTTGGGTACAGCTTGTACTTTAGAAATACAATATTTTTGCTAAAAAAAAAAAAAAATGATACTTAGCTTTTATATATTTTGATTGATTTTGGTTGATGGTATAATAATACAATTAGGTTTTTTTTGTTTTATTTTTTTCCTCTAAATTAAAGATATAATCATATAAATATAATATATAGAAACAATAAGTTTAAAGTAAAATAAAAATACTGTAACATTTTTATAGGATATCTCACACAGAATAAAGCTGAGTCCCCACCACCCCTGTAACATTTTTTTTCACCAAAGTCTATATATGATATATCATACATCATAAAAATGTGGCATTCACCTTCCAGCCCACTACCACAAAAACAAGAAGCCGCAGCTTAGCATCACTAATTAGTAATACGACTCCTATACACAACTGCTAGA